TTACAATTTAGCAAAAACCAACGTCCTCACTGACAAATGCACTCACACTAAATGCTATTCCTGAGTGAGACTGCTTGAAATCCTTCTCATGAATTGTAATTATAATTAGTTGGTGCTGCTGTTCCAGTTGCAAAGAAATTATTGGAGACCCTTCTTTTAATTTTTTTTAAAGCACAGAACAATTAGGTTACACAATATCTTCTGGATGTTATTTTCTAAACCCATGGCTACAAAAAGACACATTTTTCTCAGCGAAGGCTTAGACTTTGTTTTAGCTCATCTTTGTGGATGTGTGAGCTGCTGCCAGTTCCTGTTGCTGCTGTTTTCTTCTTCAGGATGAAAGGTTTAATGTTCGGGCTCTTTAACACTCAGCCAGGCCACAAAGCAGCCCCGAAAGAAGAGGAGAAAAAAAAGACAGACCGAGAGGAAACAAGGGAGAGGGGAGCTGGAGAAGGAATTGGGTTGACAACACAAAGAGACACAGAAGGAACAGATGTAGAGGTGCTGGTCTGAAGAGACTTCAAACAATGGTGTGGGTTTGTCGCCCAGATTAAAACGAAACATTTTCTCACTTGCATTTAATGTTATTTGAAAACCGCTCACATTGAAATGCTTAAATTATCCATCGCTCCGGGAGAATGCTGGTTGAAATACATTTTCAAACGCTTAAACGTTGCAAATAAATACTATTCATTTCTTAGTTTAGGGCTAAAAGCAAAGTCTTTTCAAAATTAAAACAAGATTATCAAGCAAGCTGCATTTTTAAGGATGAACCGACTATTTAAGTGAAATGACCAAAGGTTTATGGATATAATCTGAACCTCTCTTATTACATTTTACTACCAAAGACCATTTTGTGAAGCTCTAGATTGTTAGTAAACTATGAACGATGTTGACTGCTCTATCAATTACCTGAACGTACAGCATTTGAAAAACATCCTTCTTTTCAACACATGGCTTTGGGAAGGATATTCACCCTTTTAGATAAACAACAAGCTGTATTTATCTCAGTGTTTAGCTTTCTGTCTGTTTGAGTAATTTCACCTATATGTCAAAGCAAGTAGAATCGAACAGCATTTCTACCACTTAGTCACTCTGCTAAAGAGGAGAATATGTAAATGCTTCATGGCGATGACAGTGATAACGGTTATGTCCCTTTCACCAGACTTAGCTAATAGCTTCAGCTCCATTACCATTATGGATGTCTTAAGAGGGACCACTTGTGTTGCGCTCTGATTTATCACGGGACACTGCACCTCTTGTTCTGCTCTGTGTGTACAGTAAATGCAGACACCTATTTATTTAATGTTAGATTAATACAGGGCATAAGGCGAATATCTGTTTGGATGGCTCTTTATCTCGAGTATATCAGTGTGAATAATGTGTGGGTTGGTGGGTAGGGTCATAGGCTGGGGTGGTGGTGGTGGGGGATTGAAAAATGATCTCACGCAGAGATGTTCCATAACTCCCCTTCATAATTGTTTCCCTACTTGGTGTGCAGTCTTGCTCCATAAAGGGGTAAAGCCAAGGGTGCTCTAAATGTCAGGGGAGCGGCGCGCTGATGAATTACCTTTTAAAGATATCAGAGAGAGGCGCGCTTCAGGTGAAAGATGAGCCCAACACAGCGCTCGGAGGCCCTGTCTGCCTGTGTGGGCATATTTCCCCCCCAGGGGAAATTTGTCTTTTTATCAACTGTCCGAAAGAAGTCACAGCATATCCTAAATGAATAAATCAAAGAGAATTAGTTTGCTCTGTTTTCTTATCTCAGATGTCCTCGTTTTTCCTGTGGAGATCACCTGCAGATGCGTTTGTATGCGTGTGTGTTTGCAGAATTGATAGCAGGGGTGGCTCACATCTGAATCTGACTGGTTTAGTTTAAGCTGGCAACAAACACACACACACACGCTTTTGCCCGTCCTATTTATAACCCTTGTTTGAAAAACCAAGACTGACAAACACTTGGGTTTAAATAATGACACACACTTCCACCATTTGGAGATCCATCGTGAACACACACCTTCAGGATTGTGTGTGTGTGTGTGTGTGTGTGTGTGTGTGTGTGGTGTGTG